TGCTGCCATTTTTCCACGAATGAGAGTGCAGCACATGTTTGAAACGATCGGTGATGATCCTGTGGAGATGTCGGCATGATCTAACCGATTATAAATAGTTTACTTTTCGGTTCGTTAATCGATTAAACGATTATTCGAATGAAAATCGGACATCACTAGATGAATGTGAAACGTCATTTCAAATATAAGGCCGTTCATAAATAATGATACAATTTGAAAGGGACCGGGGCTAATCACAAATTACGTCTCCATGGTAACTGAAATAAACAAGAGTGTTCACCGGTTGCTAGTGGTTAGCAAAGCATGCAAACAACTCAAAGAAGACATTAGCTGCTTGTTGTATTGGAATCGCTCCCTGCGCCTCACGTACACACTAAGATTTTGGTTCCGTTTTCGGTAAATTTTACCGAAATCAGAACAGCTGAACCGTTCGGTAAAACTTTGACCTTCATTTTAAAGGCTATTGAATTTGAATAATTAATATCATAATATCAAAACATTTTCAACCTTGTTAAAATGATCAAATCTTGTCATTTTAGTGGAGATTTAGTTTCAAAGTAGCTGAAAAGCAATTGAATTGAATTGCAATAATTTTACCGAAAAGTTCAGCTGTTCAGTTTTCGGTAAAAATTACCGAAGTCGGTGATAATTTCTAAGTGTGTAGTGTACCGCTCATTGTGTGAATCACTTTCCCAAAGATTAGATTAAAAAGAGTGTGCAAAGCAGTGCTGCAAAATTTCGACAATACACGGTGATACTCAAAATTCTGCTTTGGTCACTCGTTTGAGCTATCAGTCATCGTCAAGGCAAATCATGTCAATTGTCAGTAGCATTTTTGTCAGTGACGAACATGTGCTGATTTGTTTATTAGCTAAATTTGAAATGAAATTAAATGGCTTGAGCAAAACAATTACATGGAGCCATTAAAGTGAATAAGCATCTACGTCCTGAACCGCTTGGATAACAATAATGTGTCTCAGAATGCAAGAAACTACACTTTCTCTAACCGGGTGAATCTTTGTCATTGACGAAAAAATTAATTGGGTTTTTACAAAAGATTTTTTTGAGGATCAAGTCTATCATTGACTATGTGAAAAACAATTTTGTCAATATCGCGTAAAAGTCTGTCAATGACAATGACAAATCTCAGCACTGGTGCAAAGCAAATGGGAGAACCATCGTTCGAAGACGTTGACTGGTGTCTGCGCTCCATCGATGAAGCAATTTCCCGGGCCAGGGAGCTACATGTGCCAGTATTCAGACATTTGAGTAATACTCTGAACCTTGACAGGCACACTAAAGACCTCATTAGATTCCGCAACACGATTCGTAGGCAGTACCAGCGTACTGGTCTGCCTATCGTGAAGACCAATTGCAACCGTTTGAACAAAATCATCCAAGCCAGGATGGAGGATCTCAGAAATGCGCACTTTGCAAACAAAATTCACTCTCTCCCAGGTGCTAAGCCATTCTGGAAAATGGCAAATATTTTGAAAAATAAGCCGAGGCCCATTCCTCCCCTTTCCTCTCCTAACTAAAATTCGGATCCATCTTTGCTAATAACCCCAGTTGAAAAGGCCAATGCTCTTGGGCAACACTTTGTGAATTCACATAACCTTGGCCACGCCATGGTGAGTCCCCACGAGCCTGCAGTATCAGAGGCAATGACTAGAGTCGCTGCCACCCCCGTAGTTGTCCCTGACGAAAGTAGAATATCGTCTGATGAGGTAATAGCAGCGATTAAATCAACCAAGAACATGAAGGCCGCTGGTGTCGAAGAAGTGGTCAACCTCGAGTTGAAAAACTTTAGTGTTGACTTCTTCAAGCACCTTGCAGTGGTCTTCAATAAGTGTTTGATGCTTGGCTACTTCCCTGCATGCTGGAAGTTAGCCAAAGTCATTCCAATTCACAAGCCTGGCAAAGACCCTACCAGTTCCAAAAGCTATCGCCCCATCAGCCTCTTGTCCTCCATCTCGAAGCTATTCGAAAAACTGATACTCAGCCGTCTGCTGGTGTTTTCAAATGATAATAACATCTTTCTCAAAGAGCAATTCGGGTTTAGGAAAGGCCACTCTACCATCCACCAACTCGAACGGGTTAGTAACATCATCAAGCGCAACAAGTCCGTTTCCAATACATCTGCCATGGCATTATTGGACGTTGAGAAGGCGTTCGACAATGTCTGGCATGATGGTCTGGTGAACAAGCTGCATAGATACAACTTCCCGATCTTCCTTGTAAAAATCATCAAAAACTACTTGTCGGGCAGATCATTCCAGGTCTTCTTGAACAATTCTCCTTCTGATACGTTCAACGCTGATGCTGAGGTTCCCCAGGGTAGCCTCCTTGGTCCTATCCTCTTTAACATCTTCACGTCAGATGTTCCTCCGCTTCCGGGTGGTGGTATTTTGGCAATGTTTGCGGATGACACTGCCATCATCTATAAGGGTCGAGTGATCCGTGCTCTGACGAGAAAGCTCCTATCAGGCCTGTATGTTCTGTCCGACAATTTCAAAAGCTGGAAGATTTGTATCAAGGCAGCTAAAACACAAATCATACTATTTCCGCACTCCAACTCACCTCGGCTTGTTCCGCCTGGTAACTCAAAAGTCCACCTTGATAACACTCCCATTGAATGGTCGAGTGAAGTCGTCTACCTTGGTCTCACTCTTGACAGCAAGTTGCTATTCCGGTCCCATGTGGACAAAACATCCACCAAGAGCAACATCTTGATTAGGTCGCTCTACCCACTTATAAACAGAAAGTCCACCCTTTCCCTTAAAAATAAGCTTGACTTCCACAAGCAAATCATCCTCCCCACCATTGAGTACGGAACGCCAATCTGGGAGAGTTGTGCTATGTGCCATCACCTCAAACTCCAAAGGATCCAGAACAAATCCTTAGAATCCTTAGGATGATCCTAAACAGTCCTACACGGACCCGAAATTCTGAGGTCCACCGCCTGGCTGACCTTCAGCCTCTCGAAGAGCGACGAACAGTCTCCTTGGAAAGGTTCAGAGACACCTCTCTGAGATCAGATCTTCAGATCATACGTGATCGGCACGTTAGTTAAGTTAGACGTGTAGTTAGGTAGGTTATCGAATTTTTCAATTAAAACAAAACACACTCCCAAGGGGTATTCTGTTAACTAGATGAAATACGCAAATACTAAATTAGAATATCCAATGAACAAAGATGAAGAGCCAGATAGACTAATCAATTGAAATGTAAAATCAATGTTTACATCATAATCAACAGAAATAAACGAAATTTTACTGCTACTAAATGGGTGTATTGTGCGATGCATATACAAAGTTGCTTTGCAAACGCTCTGAGGCGCTTTCCAGCCATGATTGTGCCAAATGGACTGAGACATAAATGCTATCCTACATTTGGTCTTCTGACGGACTAGGGTCATTTTTGAACACCCTACGTCTTCAAAAATGGAATGGTATTAAATCCCCAATCATTTTCACTTACGGACTAGGATTTTTTCAGGAATCGCTTAATCTTGAAAACAGACTGGAATGTTACTACATTCCCTATGTTCCTCATGTGCGGACTAGAATTGCTAGATTCCTTCGTTATTTTACCAGGTGTAAGGACTGGAATATTTCCCTGAGTCACCCTGGGTTTTCCGTAAGCACAAATAACGAACTAGAACATAGTTCCCTTCGTTTTGTTTTGCTTTACTTGTACGGTCTAGAAATTTTCCCTTGGTTTAAGTCAAATCGTTTTCTTATGCTGAGTAATAACCCAAGTTTATCAATATTTACCATCGGCATCTTTGATAACTGCACCGTTTCGACTGCGTCGTTTTCCACAGGCTTCGATTTGCCTCCTCACCAATGTAACAGTGCTAAATAAAACTCAACTGTCTTGCTCTAGAAGTACGATCCAAGTGCCAGATTTATTATGCAATACCTTCTACATTTGTACAATCATCGTAGCCTACTACGCCGGGTACCTGGGCAATCCACAATAACTTTTATTAATTGGATGGATCTCATAAAATTTGGAGCCGGATGGCTCCAATTGTTCCAACAGCAGTGTTATAAAACCTCTGGTTACGCTTTAAACAGCCAATTACTCTTTGGTGAATCATCGAAATGGATATCTCAAAACACGACAAATCACTCAAAGAATGCTTTAAGAACAGTTGAAACCTAATTACAGCACCAAATTAAACGCTTTTCATGCAAAAATTTCCAAAATCGCAGAAGAAAAACACGCAGCAAAAAATAAACATGCCAGCTTTCCAGCGTGGCCTACTCAATTTTTTCAACAAAATTTCGTCAGGAGTACTATGATTATTATCAGCGGTACAACTTGCATGCAAGCTGATTGATCTTCGAACCATTTCGCAGCAAGTGAATCGTCAATCAGCGATCAAAGCGAAACATTTTCCAAAAAGCAATTTTTCCACAAAAGTGTTTTCGCCAGGTCCTTTCTTTGTTGCAAAAATGAGCAGATTTTCCGCACAGAGACTACAGAGGCATACAGAAAGCGAATTATGGATGGGGAGCAAAAATTGGAGAACATGGCTGAAAAATGGGACAGTTACTAATTAATCACTTAGTCTAGCAGTTTTGGGACGTCCTTCTGCCAGGGATTTCAAACAAATGAGGCAAGAAATTTCAGATTTCAGAGTGGTTTAAACTGCTCGAATATGATACGATCCATTATAGTGAACATTTGCTGGTTTATGAATCGAGCTGCAAGTCATCGCTCGTCTTAATACCCCAGGCAATCATTTCAAATAAAGCAAATATACGTCCCGATTAGCACCATCAAAAATGTGCTCTCCGTCCGTTTTCCAAGTGTGGAATGTTTCGTAAATTTTTAACAAGATTTACTCTCTACCGTTTCCGACTCGAGCCTACACAAAGCTACATCGCATAGGCAACCCGCACAGCATACCATCACATACCATCTGCCATCCGGCTTTCAGTTGAAACAATTTAAATCGATTTCTCCATTTTTCCTTTGTTCTCACACAGCCCCGCCTGGCCGACACCCGCCGGTCGGCCATCCACTGCGCCGATATGGACCTCGAGTACTACCGGCTGCGAAGCTTCAGCATCACATCGCACGGGATTTGCAATCTGGGTGATTCGATGCGGTTAGCGTTTTAGATTCGATTTCGGAAATTTGAATTGATTTTAATTTTGGGATTCCAGAAGTCGTCGATCCCGATCGATTAACTCGGTTACGTCGGTCGGCTCAGCCGGTGGAACCAAGAACCGGAAGGGAAGCAGCAGTTCGCAGAAGCAGGACGTTCCGATGGCAGCTTCCGGAGAAGGTAGCGTGGACAACTTGGATGCCGAGAAGGAGAAAATTCCAGCCTTCAAGGTGGCCATGCTGGGAGCCTCCGGGGTAGGCAAGACGGCGCTAACCTATCAGTTTACGACTTCCGAGTACATCTGCGCGTACGACTTGAGTTTGGGTAAGTCTGGGAATGAACTTAATTCAAGTGGTCGGGAACTCACTGGAGTCGATTTCAGATGACGACTACGGTCAGAAGACGGTTTCGGTGCTTCTGGATGGACAGGAAACCGACCTGGAGATTATCGACCACCCGGCGTGTGAGATGTCGGTAAGTAGCGGGTTTTGGCTGTGTTATTAAAATGTGCAAATTTTAACGACCCAACTTCAAACAGGAGGAAGCATTCTGCTCAACGTACCACATCGACATCTTCGTGGTCGTCTACTCGGTAGTGGACCGAGGTTCGTTCAAGAAAGCCGAAAAGATCCTGCACTTTCTGAAAGAAACGGAAATGCTGCTAACTCGCGGTGTGATTCTGGTTGGCAACAAAACTGATCTCGAGCGTCAGCGAGAAGTTCCTACACAGGCCGCGAGGCGGCTTGCAAAAGAAACCGGGGCCAAGTTCATCGAAACCTCCAGTGGCATGGACTACAACGTGGACGAGTTGCTCGTCGGAATCGTAGCCCAGGTGAAGCTGAATCCTCAACGAATTAACCGACTAACCGACAAGCAACGCCACAGCATAGCCGGATCAGTTGAACCTCCGGTCAAAACACCCATCAAGGGTCGCAAAATGGCCATGTCGATGCGAGAATTGCCAGCTCGGGACGCCACGAACCGTATACGGCGAATCGTGCGGCGTAGCAGCATCGGTAAGCTCGGTTCCGAAGATGACGATGACTACACTCTGGACGATAAGCGGCTTCGCAAGAAAGCTCAGGACTTTCCCGATGAGGATGATGCCGAAAGCGACGACGAACGGTCCACGGATAACGAAATGAACCTGCTGCAGCGGAAACGCTATGACCTTCCAAGCACGTCGACGCAGAACCTGAACAGTGCGAATGCGCGCTACCAAAAGCGAATGTCCTTCGACGGCCAGATGCAGGAGGATCTCGGCGCTCAGCAGCAGGAGGCACGCGAGCAGCAACGAGGCTCGCCGCAACCGAACGTCCGGCGGTTCAACTTCATAGATGACAAATCGTGCTCGGGAAGTTCGACCGCTGCTAACAAATTCGCCAATCGCACCAAGCTGCTGTTGACTTCGTTTTTGAAGTTCAAGCGGAATCTGCGCGTCAAACGGCGCAGCTCCGGCAGCTGTAGCGATCTGTTCGTGATTTAAGTGTAGTGTGAATGAGTCGGTAGATGTTGCACCAATATACGTTTAAGTGGGTGTAAGTGTGTTTGTTTGTATATATTTGTGTGAAGATACACACTCATGAGCACTCTTGTGTGTTTTCGGGGGGAGAAAAAAAAACAAAACACAGCACGTCAACAAAAGGGATCAAAATTAGCGGTTTTCAGTTTACGATATTTCAGTTGGTAGGCCCAAAGAAGGCCAATATACAACGAAATATGAGCGATTAGAAGAGAGTAGTAAAAAAAGCCAGAAGTGTGAGTGGTTAATATATACATAGTGAGTACTACTTAACAATTAATGAAAAGTTTGTTTTTATGCTTGCAATCTTAGTTATTCGTCTGCATTATGTTTAAGGGAGGTGAGGGATGCTACTATTTAGATCAGATTCTAGCAGAGTGTAAACTGGCAACACGGTTTAAATGTTTTTATTGACTTTTTGATTGTTGGAATTGAGCAAACCTTAATAAAAATCTATAATCAAAAGAAAATACACGAAAATATAAATTTGTTGGTGAGGAAACGAAACTCAATAAAAGTAAAAGCGAATCAAAAAAGAAAGTAAACACTATTACTGCATACACTTAGGGAGATAAACGTTTATCAAACAACTTCTCTTTACATGTTGGGAACTTTGTAAAATATGAAGCTTGGGAATTAACTTTAAAGAACAGATGGAATACAGAACACGAATAAGAAAATGATTGGTATAAGGTTTTCAATTTACAAGACTCGAATAAAAGCGCACCAAAATCGTACACATTTCCCTGGGTTTACTTAGGGCTCAAAGGTCTGAGAAATATTGCTATAGCAGGTTGAATGAACAAAATGCGCCGGAGTAAATTACTTTTGCTTATCTCACTTTCGGCAGCCGTATCTTATGTCCAACCCACTCCAAATATATGGCCTTATTACGAGTGTCACGAAGTGAACTGACCACTTGTCACTCACGGTTAAGTGATTCCCGTGTAAATCAAATGGGATTCATTTCACCGTGAGTGATAAGTTGTCACTTCACCGTGAAGTGACATCGATAATAAGGGCCATAATATCCATTCTGTTGCTACTTTTGAACCGACTGTTAATCATGACTGATTGACTAATTGAATTGCGAGCGGGGAGTTGCTCAAATGATGGATTTTGATTATCTTATTGAGATTTGAGATTTAGGATATATTTAATGAATCAAGTTATAAGTGATTTGCGAGCTGGAAATTGCTCAATTGAAGGAGAACTGGTGAAACAGTTCCATGATCTTTGAAGTGTCTGGCAACTTTGTACTATCTCTGCGCCTGCACCCATTTCATATCATCATATCAAACCATTTTTGTTGATACATATCAATTTTTCGATTCGGGTAATGACAACCACGGATTTTCGGCGCAGACCTGTCATAGATTCCCCAAAACCAAGGTTAGATTCCGCAGCAGCCGACATCCGAAAAATATTTAATTCCACGCATCCACATTTCACAGAGTATGGATTGCGATATGAAAAAAATTGAAAAAGGCGTTTATTGCAACAGCTTACGAAAGGTATTTCCTATTGATTGGTGTATTTGGATTTTAATTTCATCTATAAATGACAAAGTTATAAGCATTCAAAATCTTACACCTTTTCGTGGCGGTCGTAATTTTAGATTTTCGATTTACCCCCAGTACCTTCCCGTAAGATGTAGTCTACGTCAAAAATACTGAAATTGCAATCGTTTCACTGTAGCTTTGTGTGGGAGGTAACGCAAGAAAGGAAGAGAATCGGCCCTTTACCAACAGATACCCTGTTTGTGTTTTAAATCGGCTTGGCAACTTCTAACTGGCTTTTATGCGGGATTACGACTATCGATCGTTCCGGTGGCAGTGACTGGTGGTGAGAGGCAACAGCGATGAACACAACCGCCAGCGGGAATAGATTTTCACTGAATTTGTTTGAATACACCTGCTGCTTGGTGACACCGTTTCCACATCCACCGATGTCAGCAACTGAACCACTTCGCCTCGTTTCTTCTTGTTCAGTTCGTACCTTGGCCACCTTAAACCGTGCATCCGCGTTGTCCCTCTTCGCTGTCAGGTATCCATCGTTGATGTCCGCAAGAGTTCCAGCGATTTCAATACCAGCAGCTTGCCCCGGTGGCTTTGGATTAAAGTGCAATAAGATGTGTTGCGATACTGCTTTCTACCGAACTCTTTGTCAAATATCTGCAGCGGTTGGAAGAACTCGATCGTCTTCTCGAGAAGATCCTCCGGTCGGGCCAGTGCCTTTGAATCATCGTCTTGGTTCTCGTATTAGCTCGGATTCCATTGCTTGTTGTGTTGTTCCTTCTCATTGAAAACAAAACATTTGAAGTGTCAGATTAACCGGGTTGCCAAGAATGCCATTACTCACAACGACAAAATTCAGTCTGATGACTAACACTCTCGGCACAGCTGCAGCACACTTAAAAAAATGCCACAACATGAAATAACAATAGGTACACTACCAGTCATAAGTATGGAATCGCTTAGAAAAGTATTGCAACACTCATTTGAATATTGCATCACGTCCTAAAAAGTATAGCATCACCTATATCTTGAAATCCTGGTTATCTGCAAAGGTGCTGTCTTTGTGGGAAAACCGACCACCACCAGGTTACCACAGCGGAAAATACCCGACAAGAGGAGGACACTATACGGGCAATCGCGTTTCGAGGGAAGAAAAATAAACAACGGACTGCGGTCAAAGTAAACATTATGGTATCGCGGTACATTGGAGACTATTTATTTATCACGTATGCTTTCTGTCTTTGTCGACTCACACTCAGTCAATCTCGACGCAGTGGTGGCGTGCCTAAATATCGCCCCGACCAACACTTCTCCTCGATATTGGCACTTCGACCAATCGATCGTTGATCAGTCCAAAATCGTTAGAAAAACTTTTTCTTCACGTGTTCAGTAAGCTCGGTCAGAAGAACGATGAGAAGATTGGAACCCATCTTCACCGCCACAAAATTCTTCAGGATCCAATCGTTGAACCGGACAATCATGAAAAATCTCATCCGACTCTGAATACTCCTCCTGAACCGGTTGCTCCGTTCATCACCGAGTCATCAATTTTCGAAACATTCCGACAATCCGGAATCATTCCAGGCCTGTGCTATGCAAACTGACAGCTTTCCGTATAACGAGCTTCCTTGGTTAGCCTCGCACCCTGCGCCGGGTGTTCAGCTTGTACAGGTTCTCACTTTCCCTTTCGAACTCACAACTGTGCACTTCGAAGAATCAAAATTCATCCTCAGGCCTTTCTGCGTCGTCTTTCGCACCGACAGCAAGATGCTATCCAGATTGGGAATCAATAACACATCTTTGAAGGTTATGTCTCTAACGCATCGGTCACTATCGACGCACTTCACAATGCCTTCACCGATGCCGACCGATTTCGTAACAGTTCCATCGGCAGATCTGTCCAAGTTTCGAAAGAACGCTTCATCGTTCGTCATGTGGCTCGAACCACCACGCCACCACTGTCTATATCCCACGAACTACTGCACCGATTGCTTCCGATCGTGAAACAAATCGGGCTTTCGTTCTTCTCCCGTTGCATCAATCTGCAATCACGACGAAAGTGACCAGGCTTCCAACAGTAGCACACTTTTTTCCTTTCGTTCTTTGTTCTGCATCAACATCGCTTTTATACCAAATTCACACAAACGTTCTCCAAGTCGTTCGACTCGTCGCAAATTGCCGTCACCAATCCGCCGTATGATTCTGGAAGGCTGCGATAAATCAAGATGTTCCTCCACATTCCCTCCTTCCACCATATTCAAGCTGCAGATCTTCCGAAGCAGTGACATACGAGAAGTCATCGACGCTTTGGTGTGGAATTTCTTCAGGGCCGATTTGGCGTTTTTCACTATCGTCAACTGATAATCTTCAAGCAACAGAACGACAGTTGCCAACGCCTTTTGATCAGCCTTCGTCCAGGTGGAAGTAACAGGTTCCGCCCAACAAACAATTGAGAGCTCTTATAAAACACCTGAGTTGATCAAACGTTGAATAATAGCTTCCAGAGTTGAACAAGAATGTAGTTGTATTGCCATTTGATTAAAAGTTTTAAAAGCTATTGGAGCACTCCTAAATGATTATTTACGTTCGGTTTAACTATATGCTTTATAAGACCTACGATAACTTTTATAGCACCTTAGTTAAACTGATTCACAAAAGCTATACAGAACGTGGAATAAACGCATCAAAACAAACCATTGGGAGCTCTTATACAACACCTGAGTTGATCAAACGTTGAATAATAGCTTCCAGAGTTGTACAAGAATGTAGTTGTATTACCATTTGATTAAAAGCTTCAAAAACTGCTTGGAGCACTCTTAAATGATTGTTTACGTTCGGTTAAACTGTTTGACAGGAGCTTCTATAGGATGTGGAATAAACGCATCAAAACAAACCATTGGGAGCTCTTATACAACACCTGAGTTGATCAAATGTTGAATAATAGCTTCCAGAGTTGTACAAGAATGTAGTTGTATTGCCATTTGGTTAAAAGCTTCAAAAACTGCTTGGAGCACTCTTAAATGATTGTTTACGTTCGGTTAAACTGTTTGACAGGAGCCATAAAGGATGTGGAATAAACGCATCAAAACAAACCATTGGGAGCTCTTATACAACACCTGAGTTGATCAAACGTTGAATAATAGCTTCCAGAGTTGTACAAGAATGTAGTTGTATTGCCATTTGATTAAAAGCTTCAAAAACTGCTTGGAGCACTCTTAAATGATTGTTTACGTTCGGTTAAACTGTTTGACAGGAGCTTCTATAGGATGTGGAATAAACGCATCAAAACAAACCATTGGGAGCACTTATACAACACCTGAGTTGATCAAACGTTGAATAATAGCTTCCAGAGTTGTACAAGAATGTAGTTGTATTACCTTTTTGGTTAAACGCTTCAAAAGCTGCTTGGAGCACTCTTAAATGATTGTTTACGTTCGGTTAAACTGTTTGACAGGAGCCATAAAGGATGTGGAATAAACG